CACCAGGTAATCCATGGAATGCGGTAAAAGGCAAGTAGGAAGGCCAGGCTGAAACGCAGCTTTTGTTTGATATGGCTCCGCAGTAGAAACGGTGAGTGGGCAATTTCCAGCTCGTAGGTCGATAATCCATTTGATAATGTCACGCACTTCTTTCAAAGTATTCTAATGGCTAGAGCCTTCTCAACTTGAACTATCAGTCATTTCTCCGATCCGCTGCTTTCAATTTTGCTTCTATTTCAATGCTACAAAGTACTAAGACATTTTCACTTCCACTATTATCTAAACGAGCTTGTAGTGAATGGCAATCAGTTGCAATGGCGCACTATAGAGTTAGATGTCAAGTCCGAATGTCGAAACAGAATTATGCAGCTTTTCACAACGCGTTCCAATCGAGGCAGTGGGCAGTGGTGGTCGTCATAGCATGAGAAGCAGACCAAATTTGCGAACAATAGATTTCCAATGAATCCGGAAAACTGATTTCGAGGTGTGAACACACCTGAGCAAATATGCCAAAAGAATCACAACTCAATGTGAGTACTATTGAAACTTTGTTTGTCTCAAACTATTGCTGACTGCTCTCAACCAACGGAGAATTTTGTCGTGCAGCCGAAAAGGAAGTCCGAAACAACCGAAAAGAGGAGGGAGGATTGAGAATGAGACAAAAAGGAATGAAAATTCGTAAAAACTCGTAAGAGGAGAAACCACAAGTTAGGCTGCGGTTTTAGGAAACATACCTCTGTTTTATCATTTGTTTCAACATTGCAGAGGCTTTTACGCATGGAATTGGACCTTCGTCGAGAACGCTTCTTTTTTGCCTCGTTTCGTGCATGAACCTCAAATAGTAATAATGTAATCCTGCTTTCAGCAAAGAATCAGCAAGCTTTTTGTTTCCCGTATATACGTGAGACAAACCATCATGAGTGGTTCCAAAGCATAATGTTTAACAATGCAAGTAAGGACGTTCTCATCACGTGAAGTCCATTCCGCACAAATTTCTTCCCATTGATCCGAGAATCTAGAAACGAACAAACTCTGAACGAACATCAAACTCCCAAAAAACGAGAGATTCTACCTGGCCACCAAGCTGTAAACGTGCTTGCAAAACTTTTTGTTCTCATAGAGCAATCGCAGTTCTGGATACTGAAGAAGCTTCGTTAAGAAAACAGCTGCCTGCGGACCATGAAGATTTTCTGGTTCAGAGGTTTCTCTTAACGCATGCAAGCACTGCTTGTGATCTGCTTCGTATGACTCTACAAAGGTGTTCATACGCTAGAAACCAGAAAGATACAATTCAGAAAAACAACCTTCATTAGCAATGGAGAACAGAGTTGCCCATAGAGGTTTCAAAAGTGGAGTTAGATCAGTTTTTTCTCGATAACTTTTCAGAGCCGACCAAACCTCTTGCTCATTGCGCAACGTTTTTAGAACTGCTCTGAAAACAAAAAAAAATGGGAGAATACTCGATATATCAGATTTTTCGCAATGCCCACTTGATTGACAGGGACTCCACTGATTGTTGTTGGCATAAAACAATTAGAGTTGACAGCGAGCTTTCCAGTGAATTGCTCCGAAGCTTCTGAAAAAAACTTGAGCCTTATAACAGAAGTAACCTGAGTGAAACGAATCTTTCAGACGGAGACGCTTCTTTGGACACAATACATCAAGAGCCAGAGGTTGTCTATTTTTATCAAAGCAAACTATAATGTGACTTGTTAAGAAGAAAAAAACAGTGGCCTCTAATTTAACTAGTTTTTGTCGTTAACTGCGGTGAACATGAATACTGAGGACGCATACCAACTGCTGTTAGTAAGATACTCTCTATATTGTGAATTTACTAGAAGGAGATTGAACGAATGTAACAATTAATCCCCTACTGAACGTTCATCCTATGGTGGAAAATAACACGCGGTGAAAATTCTTATATGGCCACCTAGAGCTTTGTTTGCAGGGAGCTCACGCATACATGAAAATATACCCTGCTCGGCTGAACAATTTTGGGACCAAAGTTTTCAAAAACTGTTCGTAGTTTTAGGAAAAAAAAGATACTTTCACGTTATATGATATCACTAGCGATCAGACTTTCAAAACAGAGGTATACTAACCATCAATACAACCTTCGTGAGTGATGCCACTACATCTGGCGTTAACTTCACGGTTACGGCCAGCTGACAGATTACCATCAACGATGCCTGACGGAAAGATGGGAGAGCACTTCTGAAAAAAATACATACCATTGACGGCAACCATCCCGATTTAGCTCGACGCGCACGTCTTCTTCGTTCTAATATTGATAGTGAGCAGTCTTCTATGACCCCTTTTGCAGTTCATTTTACCGAGCTGTCCTTACAGATTCTTTTTTTTGGCTCGGTATTGTGAAAATACCCGTTGACTATGGAGTTTTGATGGAGAAATCAATTTGAATCTGTTTCAAACAACCATTTTCACAATACCGTGGCACAATTTAGAAGGCCGTGGAAAAGCCCTCTTCAAGATATTCAGCTACCACTTCTAGCACTCATACCTTGCATCATATCATCATTACCGTTGCGTAACTATGGAAAGCAAAGGCAGCTAGTACACGCAACCTAGAAGATTTCCTTCTCTTGAACAATTGAAATAACCGCACGTGGCACAAACTATTGCACCACAGCCCCCTCCCCTTAATAGAATAGTCCCAAGAACAGTTTCCAGCAGTGAAAAACTTTAGTTTTTGAAAAAGTTAAGGTTGTTCTAAAATAACTAAAATGTGAAACTCACTTGAGCCCTATTGCGATGAGCGGAATGATTTTAGCGAGCAATGCATCATCAATCTTCGAGGACTCCTCCAACACAGCAATTAGGAGCTTCGTATAGAATGTAAATAGCATATGACATTTCTTTTCCAAGAATTCCTCTCCAACTAGCTGAAAAGATTACTTTATTTCTCGATGATTTCCACGTGACTGGAGACAAGTACTGTTGAGCAATACAACACCTGGATTCCTCGGTTTAAATGATCACCAAGGCGTGTGATTAATGAATGAGTACTGGATACCGTGTTTTTTACAATCTGCAATGGAAGGACTGTATAAAGGCGAAAATTTAATAAAGACATCAGTGCAACTCACGGAGCTGAATGGAACAGGATATTCCTTTTTGCCAAAACCCTCCATAAAACGCCCAATCTTTCGACGTCGCGAAATTATATTCAAGTATGGATAAAATACGACCAAAAACATTAGTTTCGTGAAAGGGAAGGAATGTCAAGATCATACTCTCCGCGTTGTAGGCGTAAATCTGAACAAAAGCTGTCGATGGATACATAAGATCTCAATGCTGCAGGAGGAAACTTGCCTGGTACTTAAAAACAAGCCACTCTAAGACTTGCTGACATGCAAAATGCTGCAAGTATGGAGAAAGTAGAAACAGCAGTTTCTCGATCTTTTCATTTAGAGCAAGATTTTCCTCATTAGTTATCATGGAACGTTGAAAATGCAGGCGAGACTCGTCGAACAGATCGTTTTTGGCAGCGAATTCTCCATCCAATTCCTTCAGTTTTCGCAAGCCCACGCAGCCTATACAAAGTAACTTGGTAAAACGGCGTGACGGTTATTCAATTAGGCTGCATTGATGCCGC